TCTCTCTCTCTATCTCTCTCTGTCTCTCTCTCCCTCCCCTGTCTCTCTTCCTGGCGTCTGTGGTGTAGCGGTTAGGCGCTTCGCTGTCGCACGCAGAACGCCTTGAGTTCGATTCCCACTTGGAGAGAATATTTAACTAGCGTTTAAGGCGATATATTATCCCTCTCAGCCTGTGTTTGCCCTGACAATTTAGGTTGAATACTGCCTCCTAAAAACACCTACATTAAAACAACAACAACAACAACAACAACAACAACCAACAACAACAACAACAACAACAACAACAGCAACAACCAACAACAACAACTACTACTACTACAACCCCACCAGGACGTGGTGACGGGGGAAGTCATGTGTGATGTTTTCTTATAAACTATCGTCTCAGTCTTCTTCACCTTCTTCTTCTTTGTTCTTTACTCTTATCTCTAACAATTAATGCTTTACTGTCGCTCGAAGAAGATTTGAGTTCGATTTTCGTGTGCCTTGTATTAGGGAGGTATTTAATTATCGAGTATCTCCGTCTGTGTGATTGGATGCTTTATCCTTCTCAGGCTGGGTCGGCCTTGAGAGTGAGAGTCGAAGCAGTCCGCCTCCCTAATTATCTAAAATAATGTCAATGGATGTGTAAAATAAATGTCTATATTAATTGTGCCTCTATTTTGGGGGGCATAGAGTTATTGGTATCATCTTAAAGCTCGTTCATCTATCTTGCTTTTAAGTTTAAAAAAAAACAACAACAAAAAAACAACCAAACAAAATAAAGAAAAAAACAACAACCCAACAACATAATTTAGTAGAAGTAGAAGTCGAGATATTTGCGATTGAAGGAGACGGGAGTCGCCTGGTGTCAGGGGTACAGTTAGCGAGAAAATGGCCTCCAAAGTCTGGTGATTTTCAAAGATTGAGTGTCCTTGGTCCTTGGAAAAGGCAAACTTAGCTACATTTGTTGTTGATGTGTATTTGATCAACGCTTAACTGTAAAACCAACACAAAAATTATTTGCTTTTAAAAAGACACAAAATGTGTTGAGTAGAAAAAACAATTCACGAACAATTGCTCTACTGGTGAAAGACATCGATTTATTTGATTTCATTATTTTGATTCGCGACTGATTTCACCACGATGCCACACACAACAATTGCACCACTTGGGTATCCTTTATCTTTGCTGTTTGCTTGCTGTTTTGCAGAATGCGGTCAGTTTCAAACCATTATAGACACTGTGAAAGGCCATGACTTCGACCCGCACGGAAAGCATAACGTTTTTTTGGTATCTGTTTGCATAATTTTAAAATATTTTTAGGGGGTTATCTGTTGAATTCTGCTGGACGTTTTGTTTTTTTCCATTATTATTTGTGATGTTGACGAAATGAATTACTTTTCTAAACCCACGAATAGAGATGTTGTCCGAAAAGAGACACATGAAATTGTCCTCATCTTAAACATATCGTTTATCATTTCATATAATAAATTGTTGTTCAAACACAACATAAACCTATAAATTTATTGCATCTATCTGTGGACACAGAGGTGAAATCAGAGAATTGACTAATTTTGGCAGCACAACTTAGATTTATTCGTTTATGTATTTTCATTGGGGATGACTTTCTAGCACTGACGTTCTACGGCACCCCCCGGTCACCCAATTGAGGGGAAAGGATGGAGCTTGTGATGAGTTATTTACTCAACCAAGACATGTCCTGACTGGTAGGGTCGAAGCATCTCGCTTCATAAATTATCTAAATTGTGTCTGGGGGATGTAAAACGTTGTAATCTTTTTGAGGAAGTAAGAGAAAAAGAAGAGTAGCCTACGTAATATTATACCCGAAATACACACGTGCGCACGCGCATTCACACACACACAAACAAACACTAGCATACACACATATACACACATATGAACACACACACACGCATACACACACGCACACACACATGCATACATACATACAAACACAAACACACATAACACACACACAAACAAACACTAGCATACACACATATACACACATATGAACACACACACACGCATACACACACGCACACACACATGCATACATACATACAAACACAAACACACATAACACACACACAAACAAACACTAGCATACACACATATACACACATATG